CGCACATACACATACTGATGTAAACACGTGTTGGATGCACCTACGGCTGAAAACAACGATTGTGCTACACGTTTGCTATTGCCGTGTAAGAGCAATAATTCTAGGGCCGATATTCATGGTTAACTCTAAACTGATGACTTGTACAGGCTTTTAAAGTGCCGTCTTTGGACAATTTGGGGTACCGTATTTTGTCGCCGTTTCATGGGTGCACGCAATTTTTAAACTTGGCATGCATGCAAAAAATGCTTTGGCAGGGAAAGGGTTAAGGCAGGATGTAATTTACTGTTTTGCAAGAACTCACGACAGGGCATATTATGCAAGTTGGCGCACTGTGGTACTACCGTGCATCTTGGTGTGCTGGTTGCTAGAAATGGTGCATGCACTTTTTATGTCTGTTCCAGTGTGCTAGACAGAATGTACAAATGAATGGGCTTCCATAACGCAATGCACATTAGGACAAGATATAACGCACATGTATTAAATGGTACGCAATGGTGTAAATGGGCTCTTAAACGCTTTTTTTCCCCCCAGAAGAAAGAAAAAAACTTGACGTAACTGTTCAAAAAGTGTCAGTCGGAGTTGGGCATTAAATAAAAATCATTTACAAGTACCCTGGCTACATGACAATGATAGCGCAGTTTCACTCCAGTATAAACAGTGTTGTCACCCTGTGTAATGAAGTGGAAAAATGTGTCTACTAGTAGGATTAATGGGTAATAAATCAATTGTTGTTAGGCACAATAACGTAAAAGGTTTTCCCCCGAGCTTTTATTGAAGTCTATGGAGCTAAAAACGTGCCCCAAAAGTAGATCATGTACTTTTTCGAGCTTTAAGCTACAAGCAGGGCAGTCCCAGTAATGATGCAGCCTGAGTCTATTGCCACATGTGGCATCTCTCTGGGTCAAGTGAGATGGGAGGGGACCTGGCTAGCAATCTGAGTGGGACGCTCTTGTTGGCGTCTCGCCCAGCTCTTAGCAATCAGTGAGATCACTGCCTGCCAGGAGCTAAGTGGGACTCTCTGGCCAGTGTCCCATCAAGCTTCTGGCAACCAGTGACGCCACTGGTTGTCAGGAGCTGAGCTGGACACTCTGGCAAGCGTAACCACCCCCAGAATTTTCACCACCAGCAACCCCCTAAGACACCACCCTGTCTCAGAATTGTCCCCACCAGCAGCCGCGCACCCTACAACACACACCCATAAACGTGTACCACCAGCAGCCGTGTACCCTTGCCTCAGGCGACGAATAGGCTAGGGACACCCCTGCCTACAAGCAACAGGCGACACACTGCTCAGGAGTGAATGGGCACCATTGAAAATAATGGAACTCCTCATGTTCATAGTTGTTTGGGAAAGGTGACAAAATGCTCAGGAGAAACATTTCTATGGTAATGCTAGTGGAAACACTGCATTACTTGTGTCATATTTTTAAATTTGGCCATAAGTGCAACATAATAGACTGGCAACTTCCATTATTCCCAGCCCCCACCATATTTCTCTCATAACAACTTCAAATTCCGCGGGATGTAGAGTTTAGGAACGTTTGCCAGTACTTAATATGGCGCTTCTAGTATATCGATGCACGAACGTGGCTTAGCGCTGGCAAATACCTCGGAGTGACTGATCGACCAATGAGCATCGGAGATTCGATAGGCGCCAACCGTCGCCCCATTGGCCAGTTGCAAAGCGGAAATTAGCCGTGATTGGGTGGAAGTTTTAGGCACGAAATTCAAAGGTTTTTTAAATCGTCTGAGCAGCTGGCGCCATTTAGATGACACGGGCAGACAGTGCTGGCGGTGGACTAGCTTTTATATACGGCGCGGTTAGGGCTACACCGTAGTGATCGCTTTTAGCAATCTGCCGTTTTATTTTATTATAGACTTAAGTTCTAGTTTTAAAAAAATACTAATTTTACATGAAGGGGCAGTATCGATTCAGCTTGCCATCTGGGATTTAAACCGAGCAAGACGGGACAATCTGGAACTTTGTAAGTTTAAAAAAAATTATTTTTGCACATTGAATTTAAACCAACAGATCTATCCTGATCAGGGTGATTTTTGTTGTTTATCAGCCTGCAGTTAAGCGTCCTAACATTGTTCTGGAGAAGGGAGGGAAAGTTTGATGTCGGGCTGCTTGTATGTAACAAAGACTGCCGATCATCTAAACACACGACTAGTGGGTTAAGACCCACCGATCGCTATATCTGCCCCTCGATTCCCCATAAATTACCTTTTTATTGGCAGTATTGATAAGGAGACTCCCACCCGCCAAAACATTCCCTCCATCTTACGATGGGGGAGGGGGATCTCTCTTCGGCTGGTATATTGCGGATATTGATGGATTCGTTTAACACTATACACACATATAAGGTTCTTTTCTGATGGTTAATATGTTTGTAGTTCAGGAGAGATCTGTATAAATGGAGACTTTAGGCGGTGGAGGGAAGATGGAGGTGGTGGGGGATGGGGGGGAGCCTCGTCCTTATGTCTGCTGTATGGCACGTATTACTACCAGCTGCTCATTACACCTCTGCTTAGATCTCTAGGTATTTTATTATACAGCTGATTGTTAGAGATTTATTTGTAGCCACAGATCATTCCATGAGTTCCCTCCTAAAATCCTATTTTTCTTTTCCCCCTGGTGAGTTGCTTACTAGTTATCATTGGGTGCCCAAATAAAAAAAGCCTTTTGTTTTATTTAACATCACCACCAGAACACTGACTTTTAGTATTTACTGTTAGTCATTCCTGATAAAGTATCAGTGTTTATAAACAGAATAGCTCTGGCATACATTCAGGGTTCAACACAAAGATGAGGTAAAAGCCCTAGTTTTGTGTAGGACATGTCCACTTCAATGCACTACATTGGGGTGCGTTGTGATAACATGACGTGGGCTTCATTTTTATCACAGCACATTACCACACACTGCAGCACCTACACTTTTAGATATGGATTAAACACACACAGCACTGCAATGTGTTATAACAATGTAGCACACTAATTGTGCTATCTTCGCAGAGGTAACATGCTGTGTTGGTGCACATTCATTCCCCGTGCACCTCCAAAACGCCCTTGTGCTGCAATACTGTGGCAAACTGTCATGTCCTGTGTGTTGTGCAGGTATAAAGCATGGCTTGCTTAATTTTCACATGCATTTCAGCCCATGATGTTTTGGTGTAAAGGGGCTTTTATGGCAAGGTGGGTATAATGGAGGATTGAGGGGGCCTAAAGGCTAGAGAGATATATTTTAAAGTGATATTAAACTCACAAGTTAAATCTTAAGATGCGTTCAAGTACCGTGACTATTAACAATACCGTACAAGTAGTCCTCAATTTACGCCAGGGTTAGGTTCCAGAAGGACTGGTTGCAAATAGAAACCAATGTAAATTGAAATCCTTTATACCATATAATGTAGTCAATGGGAAGTGAGGGAGTTGGGTTTCAGGCCTCCCAAAAATGACATGTGACATAATACACTCTATTTAAAGCTTTGTTATGAATGCTAAACGGTATCCTAGCCAGGACAGAGCGAGGAGAGACACACACTGAAGAACCTCCATGTGTCTAAGTGTACCCCTGTGCCACCAGCATGCATCTATGTGCCTCTGTATCTCCAAGGGTATCCCTGTGCCCCTAGCATGGTTCTACGCGCCTCCATATCTCCAAATGAACCTGTGTGCCTTCATATCTCCAAATGTACCCCCAGCATGTCTCTGCCTGTGTGTATCTTCATGTGTATCCCTGTGCCACCAGCGCATCTCCAAGTGTGCACCACCATACCTCCTAGGTGTCTACAGTTTTTTTGAGTGGACAGAGCCCCTTCCTGAGCCATGATCCTCTACCTGTGCCACCATTCCAGCTGCCAGAGACTCTTGTACAGTGCTGTCAGTATTTGTCACGTGCAGTTGTATAGAAGTCCCCTGTGTATCCTTCCAAGGAGGAAAGATATGCTAGATGCCACCGACTCTGCTGTTTTTTTTTCAATAGCGGTCATGTGACCGGCCAAAAAGGGCACTATTTTGAAATTGCACAAACCGAGGGCTTACTTGTATCTTATTTGTGTATCACCTGGCTGTAGTTCCTCAAATTTTATTTATTAGTTTATATAGTGCCGATTCTGAATCATCTGAAAATCATCTCTGAATTGGTGTTGATACTGCCCTTCCTTCTGAGGGGTGGCTACTTTGGTTCCACATGGTCCCTGTGTGTGTTGTAAAATAGCTAGCGCTCCAAGCTCGCTCACGTGGTGGACTACAATCTCACATTTAGTTTACTAATTTGCAGTGAGATTGTAGTTCATCATGTGAGCGAACAAAAGTAGTCACCCTCCAGAAGGAAGGACAGTGTCGACACAAATTCAGAGATGATTTGAGGATCTACAGCTGAGTGATTCACAAATAAGATGCAGTATTGTTAATGGTTAAATCTTAAAAACGCATTCAAGTACCTTAACTCCTGAGTTTAGTGCTACTTTAAAAGAGAACTATGGGGTTAACATTTTTATCCCATAGTTCTCTTTGGGGTCATGGGAGGACATATACTAACGTCCTCGTGTGACCCAAAGCACATTAGCCCACTATATACTGAGAACGCCGCAGCTGGGACGGATCCTGACAAGGATGCACCGAAATATTTATTTCGGTGCTCAACGAATTCCGATACCGGAAGTCCCGATTAGCAGGGCAGCTGTCTCCATGCTTCTCGTCACTATGTGACGAGTAAGCATGGAGCCGGCTTTCGGACCAATAAGGAAGCCCGGCGCCGTATATTGACACGGCATCTGGCTTCCTGATTCGCTGGGAAGCCGGCTCCATGCTCCCGACAAATCAGGAAGCCGGCAGTGAGTCATTACACGCTGCCCGGCTTCCTGATACAGGAAGCATCGGGCTAGGCATTGGAACATGTTGGCGGGTACGAGTACTCGCCCAAATTGTAGCGTCCACTCATATTAATTTGTTTGTTTTCAACAGGCTGTTACTAGTGTTTTACACAACTACAAATATGAAGTGTGGCTACAAGTCTCCAACAAAGTTGTCACCGACAAAATCCAAGCATGAATGTAGTCCAACCAAGCATGAACAACATCCTTGCAAAGAATATGGATCTCCTCAAAAACGTGACTGCTTGGAAACTAATATTGACCACGTGTCGCCAACAAAGGTGGACAACCTTAAACAGGACAGACCAGTGAGCAACAAAGAAAACCTGTTACGCAGACTTGAAGAGGCTGAAGTTGGCGATCTAGATTGTAGCCCTTTACAGGACAGTGGCTATGCTTCAATACTGCACAATGACTCTCAAAGCCAAGATGAAGAGGATGAGTTCAGCACATCATGTCTTCCTTCATATGAGACACCAAAGCAACTTGTCTCAAAGAGTGAAAAACCTGTTTCAGTTTGTTCCACAAGCATGTTGCCGATGCTGCGTTTTGAGGAAGCCATTTGTTCTACTTTGAAGAAAAGCTGCAAAAGAAGCCCCAGGGTTGATTGGGCTACTGTTGAAGAAATTGCCTCCAGTGGTGCTTTCGGTCTTGATAAGGTGATCGGCAAAAAGATGGGTTTGGAAAGAGTTGATATCCTTGGCGAGCTTTTCAAAAGAGATTTCAAGCATCTCCTCAGCAAAATTTTAAGGCATCTTAGTGCAATTGATTTAATAAAGTGAGTTTTATTTTATTTACCACAGATACCATTATGTAATGACTCTTGTTCATTTAAACTTGCACAAACTGTAAAAGGTTATCTAATCCTGACACCTGCATGTTACTAGCACAGTCAATGCTTCAGGCTGCCCAAAGTTGCTGGTAGTGTGGCTCCTGTATTTCCAACTGCCTCTCAAATATGTTAGAGAGGGCGAAGAATTTAAAAGTTAAATTTTGAAAAAACTATGTGCTGTTTTACCAACCAGACGGTTATTAATTCAGTTCAGCCATTTATGTAATTGCATCCATTTGCTGAAATGTGCAGTCAAACCAGTGGTGTGGAATTCCTGACGCCCGGGTCTGATCAGATCACTTGTATGAAAGGAGCAGCGGCAATCGTGTCTAGCCCCCGCTGACGTGGTTTTCGGGCTCCCCTGGGGGGCCCGTGACCACGGCACATGAGCTCACCATAGAGCCTGTAGAGCAGACTAAGAACTTCTGGTCTGTTATCACTGAGACCGTGACGGTATGATCACAGCGCCACCTATCTCAGCTGTCGGGAACTCCACAGAACATCTGTTCTGTGTTGGAGGGCAGGTTCCATAGAGAGAACCTGTCGCCTCCAAACTATCGCATAAGGGATTTTTAATCCCCTATGTGATGGGAATAAAATTAAGTGGGGAAAAAAGTTTTAAGTTATAAAAAATAAAATATATAAACATCTAAAAAAATAAGTGGTAAAAAAAAAATGTTAAACCAACACTGCCATCTGCATGCGAATAAACGCATGCTTAGGACATTGAGTGTTGCCGCCATTCCACTGTGTGCCATATTGTGGTAGCCAGGCAGCAGAACTCTCCTACACGCCCAATGTGCATTAAAGGGTAAGTTAACTTTCCCAAGTTATATGGGAAAATTGAATTATCCGATCAAATCTGACCCGATCTCTCCCAAAACCATCCCCCGGCTATACTTACCTTTTGGCGAACAGTCCTTACCCTCCGCCAGTACAGGTGTACTATCTGTACCGCAGGCCAGCTCTATGCATTTTGAAGTTTGCTTGCACATTGCAAGCACTCATTGGTCAGGTGACCACGCTGACCAATGAGAAGTGCTATTTAGCACGTTCAAATACAGTTTTGATTAGGGATGCACCAATAGAGTATTTGGGCGAGTACTTGTACTCACGCAAATGCTCCAATACCTTCCCCAATACTCCGATACCTCCCCCAATACTGGAACTTCCGGTCAACGGAAGATTTCCTCTGACCGGCAGTGCCGCCGGGGAACATGGAGCCAGCTTCCCATGCAATCAGGAAGCAGGACAGCGACTAATGACCCACCTCCCGATTTCCTGATTGGCCGGGAAGCCAGCTCCTTGCTGAGCCAGCAAATCAGGGAGGCGGGTCATTAGTCGCTGCCCTGTATTCTGAACATCGAGCCGTCTTCCTGGTCATTACTCGCCGCCCGTTTTCCTGATTGGCTGGGAAGCCGCTTCCCTGGCCAATCACAATCAAGTCAGCCAAACAACATGGAGTCGGCTTCCCTGGCAATCAGGAAGCTGGGTAGCATGTAATTACCGCTGCCCAGCTTCCTGATTGCCCGGGAAGCCTGCTCAATGCCACCGGAAGCACCGATACTAGGATTTAGATTTCTGCCATGAAAGCTGGTACAGTAGTTTTGGGGCTCTCAGGGTACTTTTACAAAATACATACAACACTTTATGGATAAGTTCACTTTAAAACAAAGTGCAATTGTCCTTTTTACCCTCCACCCCTGACCTAAGCGATACCTCCTACCCTTCAGCAGATCCATTCTAGCCTAGCACTGTTCTGCTATTTATTCAGTGCTGCAATGCTTCCTCTGCTGGCGGCACCTGCACATTACAGCCCCATAGAGTTCTGTGGGGCGGTCTCCCAGCTGGCAAACGGGCACAGCCAGGGGAGGTAGGGTTGCATTGCTGGATGTTCACAGATAGTTGAGCAGTGACCCTTTGATCTCAGTAAGTGTAGAGGTTCAGGGTTAGATCATTGTCAGTGGAGGGGGGCAAAAAGATTGCATTTATATAATCTGAATACAGCTGAAAGAACATGGCTGAGTCACTCAATTGCTTTAATGTGTCCCTCGCTCACTACTGACTTAAGAGCTGAGTAATAAAATAATAAACAAAGGGCACTCTGATACACAAACAGCATGTCGTAGTGATTAATCACACAATGCTCCGTGTGTGTAAAATGATGTGCTACTTGTGTAGCTCAAAACATAGGGAGCCGTTTGTGTAATGATTGGTCGCTAAAGCTGGCAATTTAAGCACTATCGTGGGTACTTCAGGGTGATGGTATATATCCTTTTGAGAGACGTGGCTATTGTGCATGAAATTGTTTTGCGTTGCCATGGTTTTCTTACCTTATTGCTCTTGCCTTTTTAGCGTCATTAGCGTGAGTTCAACTTGGAGAAAGATCCTGCAGAGGGATAGCTGGGCTTACAGTGTTTATCAAAAGTGCCAAAAAGAAATTTGTGTAAGTATACTTTTACTAAGATTTTGTGCTGTTGGCTGCAATATAAGTAACAAATTGCTGATCGTCAGAAACTGAAAGCAAGTGTTCTGTATCAAATTTGAGTAACATTCAGTCATTCATTTTTTTTCAAACAGGAAAAAGAAGCAAGGAAAGCTGAACATGCTGCTACACGTGAGTCTTCTCTGTTCCGGATACCACTTGCCTCTGTACAGAAAGTAGCCAGTGCCGCATGTTGTGTTTCGAAGAAAAAGTCCAACAAAAAGAAACCAGCAGCCTCACATAGTCGACTCGCTGAGTTTAACGAGGTAAGCTTGTTGAGGGAAAGTTGGGGGTGTTGTACATCTATGTATGTGACCTGTTTTGGTTTTCCCTCTTGCTTACTGTAGCTGTTCATAAACTGCATTCTGAGTTTGATCTGTTATCTCTGAACAGAAGTTTAAGGTAACAAGTGCAATTTAAAGGAGAACTTAATGCAAGGGTAAATGTTAATATATTGCAGTTTACCAGTCCCTGAGTGTGACGGCTGTTAGTTTCTGATTTAAAGACACTTTTTTTCAGTTGGTGATCCTGGCAGTAAAACACTTCCGTCCAAGTGTGGCAATGCTCACTCATTGTACTATTAACCCTAGAACAGTGCTACAATAGCCTACTCTTTGCCATAATACTGTATGGGCATGTCTGTTGTCCTCAGCTGAAAACAATATCGCTGATGAGATTGCAGCACAGAAAGGTAATAGCTGAAAAGTTCTCTGAAGTAGTAAGGGCAATCATGAAAACTGTTGATTCCTCCAAAGTATCTGCCAAGTTTTCCTTGACTTAACAAAAGTTAAATCCACTGCTCCAGCTACCCTAATAAGTGCAGACTAAAGAGATTTGCACAAAAATGTAATGTTTTGAGAAATGCCATTCTTATATGTGGCATTTAAAATTAGTGTGCCTGGTATATTTGGTCCTCAATGCTGACAACTCAAATGGCTTTGAACCTCTCTATAGCATTGGAAGCATCATCGCCACATAAACATATACACCTCATGGATGTCATTAAAACTTGCTGTATGTTTCAGAAAATATCCAGTGAGTAATTTTGCAACCAGCATGTGGAGAAAATAATGTACATCTGATAAAAATGCATACATTCCCTTTAAAGCCATTAGTCTTTTCCCATAAGTTATTTGCAGAGTATATGCATCCTCTGTGGTATATTTTGGGTGGAAATTGCTGTGCATTTTTAGTCATTTCCTTGAGTATTCAGTATGTATGTGTGCTCACCCCTGAAGGAGCTGCCAGAATAACCTGGCTCATCACTAGTTTTCTAGGTGTTTTGGTCTTCAGCTGCCCCATTAGCATTTAACCACCCTTATCTAGTTCCCACAAAACTGTTATTCACTCAAGATGTATAATGCTGAATACATTTTTATTAACCTCTTCACATTTGGGGGTGAGGTTATAGGGATCCTGGACACCCAGGGTAGTACAGACATGGACTCCAGACTCACCACACCTTTTTACCATCTCCATATAGATCAATTTGTAGCACATTGAATAGGAATTTGAGTAGCAGATGAGCTCAGATCCTCAGCAAGAGACACCAGACTTGCTCCTGGGGACCTCTATTTTCCAGGCACCTCCAGTAGACATTTTCCCTGGTTCTCCTCTGACAACAGCACAGGCCTCTTCCATACTTGAGGCCTAGTGAAACACTTCCCACACTCCAGGCCTAGCCTGGGGGGTTACTGGACAGCACCCAGCCCTGGACTAATCCATGGCTGGCATAAGACTAGACTGAGCACACGGCGATTCCCTCCCGTATACGTACCCTATACCAGCATGCACCACTGAGAGAAACCCAGTGATTGGCTGGTGAACTGTACATGCTCAGTGCCCCCTCATTGGCTGTCCCACATTACAGGAGTCTTGCTCCACCCAGGTAGGTACAGTCAATGCCAGACACCTGACACCCCTGGCAATCACTAAATTTCTAGTAGCCACCTCACAAAAGGTGATGGGGGCTACATATGAAATTCAAATATCTTTTTGGTTTAATGATAAAAGTGCTTTTACATTTCAAATGTATTAATTTTTTTTTTTTTTTTTTAACAGATTGGGAAAACGCTTAATAATGACCAAAGCCTTAAGGTTTGTAGAGACTGTGGTTCTCCTGCCAAGCACAACCCCTACCTAAACAGAGCAATCTGCACCCGGGAAAGCTGCCAGTTGGACTTTTGCACACTTTGCAACTGTGAATATCACTTTTCCAAAGCCTGCATAACCAGCGTAACACTAAGTCATAAATACTTTTCACAACCTCTTCCTGGGAGTAAAAAGAGCAAGCAGAACTTAAGACGGCTTTAAAACCTATAGGACAAAAAACTTTTCCTAGCAAGCACTAAAAAAGAAAACGACTTATGTTATGGATTATTTTATTGAAAACAGAACTGTTGTCAAGAGTGCTGGCTGTTTACTTGTACTGCACAATGCAGATTTAAATAAGTTTTAAGTATTCACAAGACTTTTATAAAGTTCATTTTAAAGGAAATTATTTTGAAAGTTTTTAGAAACTACATTGGTGGTTTGTGTTAAAGTGTTTGTATAGCCAAAACATTTTTTAGTTTTTGATAGAGTAAGAAAAGGTTCCACCCCGTCAGTGGGGACATTTCTATTGTCCCACATACCTGGAAGTTAGAGGAAATCTCTCAAAGTGAACACATTTTTCCTTTTAGACAGTTGTCCCCACTGGAAAATTTCCCCTTACCTTTTTGTTTTGAATACAACTCTGCAATTTCTGCTTTCTCTGTGAAAATTGTCACCAGTACAACTAGTGGTGGAGTTGTCCAACAGGGACTGTGGCAGCCAAAAACTGGATAAAGGGTCCAACTCTTCCCCACACTATCCAAAACAAAGTTTTGCCTATAGATGCACTTTAATTTTAGCTGAGAGTTTGTTACCCAGACATTTTGGCTGTGATTTTACATTTGTTTAATTGGGACAATAATTGACATTCATTAATAATACCTGCTGTGGTATTAGGCGTATTTTAAGTATGGTAGTATCTGTTAAGCTTCCTCTCCTACAGGTACTCTTTTACCAGTTTCAATTGCCCATTCCTGTCTAGAAAGAATTCACTGCTTGAATGTCTGGTCGTTGAGTTTTGCTCTTGACACGTTAAGTTACTGAAATAAAATGCACACTTTTTTTTTTAAAGGTTTACTCTTTTGAGTGTGATGTTTTGCAAAACAGTCCAATGTTGTAAATACTGTAAATATATTTTAAATGTGTCCCTTTTCTTGTCATGTTTGTACTTACGCGTGCAATATTTATTTTTGCACTATATGAAATAAATTATTATAAATTTAACAATGTTTGATTTCCTAAAAAAAAAAAAGTGGTGGTCCAACTTCTTTTTTTAATCTGAAAATGCTAGCTACCTGGATGTTACCCTCTAATTTCAATGTCACTTGCTTGAAAAAGTATACAGTTAAGGCTAGAGCTGCAGCTAACGATTATTTTCAAAATCGATTAGTTAGCCGATTATTAAGTTCGGTTAATCGGATAAAAAATAAAATACATTTTTAAAAATGGCTCCAGTGATGGAACTTGTAGTTTGTATTGAGATTGTAGTCCATCACAGAAGCAAGCTTAGAGCAGTAGAAGTAAAAAAAAAAAAAAAGTGTGGTGTACAATATAGTGAAATGAAAAGTGTAACATTATACAGCAATGAATGCAGAATACCACCAGGGCTTGGGAACAAAGATGGAGGAGGTGCGGGAGTGTGGATTCGGGCAGGTCTGGCAGCGGCGAGCGTGAGGTGGGGAGGAGGTGTGGCGCGCAGCGTGTGTTGAGCCGTGAACAGGGCCAACCAATCAGAAGCCGATTAATCGATTATTGAAAAAGTTGACAACTTTTTCAATAATCCATTATAATCGATTATGTCGGTTAGTTGTTGCAGCCCTAGTTAAGGCCTTCCAGCTTTCCTCATCTGCATAGTTCAGGTTTGCACAACAGCAAACTATTATTTTGATGGTCCTCATAAGTATATTTTAAAGGCAGCCTCAGCAAAGAGCTGTGTAACCTCAAGACCCACATTTGTCTGTCATTAAGTCGCATTGCACTTTAACACACGGCATTGTGGTACCATGCGGGTAATTGAACTCTAGGTGGGAATTGCATTTGGTGCCATTCAAATTAATGACCGCACAACGCACCTCCCAGCAATAGAATGCGCTGTATATGCGATTGCATGGTAGAGCATTAATCACATGCGATGCACTATACTAGTGTGAACATGCCCTAAATACGGACACACAACCACAATCTTGCTCCCAGAAAAATGTAATTTTTTTTATGATCCACCCAGTCTCCCTATCGTCCACGAACTGGAGTGGTTCCTCAGCCTGGGGTCCAGTGTGGGCTGCTGTTTTGTGACAGCTCCATCTATATGCATTGCTTGTACAGCTCCATTGGGTCCACTGTAGAGGTGCCAGGATGCAGAATGTGATGTCGCTCCGGTCCAGCCACCTTTACAGGGCACATCAGGTAGCTGGGTTTATGCAGCTACTTTCAGGTGACTACAATATCAAAGCTGTTAGTACAGCCTTATAGAAGCCCTTTCGCTCCCAGCCTGCCTCATTTTTTTGCTACTGTTTAAGTGGCAGACCCCTTCTCTACTCAGAAGCGCATCCCTTTTTTTTTTTTTTGCGTAAGCCTCCCAAGTTTATCCAACCAGCTCACAGCCACTATCGCAGGGTTAGGCAACCTTTGCACTTGAGGTGTTGCAAGACTGATAGGCATGATAGGATTTGTAGTTTCACAGCTGCAGTGCCAAGGTTGCCTACTACTGTACTATGGCATCCAATAGTGGCTATGCAGATCGGTTTTCTCTTTAACAGACATCCAGGAGGAGGCTCTGCGGCTGGCCTGTAATGTGTCTGTGTGGCAATCATCTTGGCAATGTGTGCAGTTGCCACAGGATGCTATACAGGTCAAGGGCTGTGGTCCATTTTGGAGCCCTGTCCCTGAAGACCCACTTCAGGGAGTATGCTCACCAGTAGGGTGATAGTTTGTATGGGCATTTCACCCTTTTAATTACCACACTACTCCAACTGGTCACTGCTGCTAAGAGTCAGGTAAGGCAGGGCGAATCCCATCAGAGTCTTCCTCTAACCTTCCTATATCTGCCTTTGTACTCCTTGAGGAAGCCTAGGAAGAGGACCTGTCTTGGAGATGCCCTCAGACAAATATCCAAAATAAGTCTGTCTGTCCACATGCTATAGATCCTATGGCTTGAATGCTGGTGAGCGCCTTTTGTGAAAAAAAAAAAGGCCTTGAACACATGCTTTTTACTGGGGAATGCTTGTTTGGAGAATCCTAAGATACATATATCAAAAAATTAACAGGGGAAAGAGCACCTTACCTCAGAAGTAGTCAATGCTTCCAGCAGCAAAGTGCTCTGCTATTTCCTACAAGATAAGTTCCTCCCAAGCCTCGGGACACAAAGCTCTGTTCTGTCATAAAGCCTGGCCCTCCAAGCCCACTAAGGGGCCCCTCAAATTCCACTAGTGTAGGGATCTGTCAGCCTCCTAGGTCCTGGACAGTACTAATACCAGGCTCCAGAGTTTTGCTCCCTGTCTCCTTGCTTTCAGCTGTTAAACTTACCAAGATCGCCCCAAGGACAGACAATCTTGCACACCCCAACTTGTCCCAATACAAGTGGGGTAAGGATAGGGGAGAATTATATAGAAATAAAACTTGCCTACCTTAGCGCCAGTACCATGCTCTCCCAGATCTGTTGAGGCAGCACCCGGTCCGGCATCCGTGCGCCTCACTGCCGACCACGCTAACAGGGTCACCGTCTGGAGCCACTCACGTCAGGAGGATGGTTTCCCTTCCTGAGCGATGGAGGGGAACCTTGGCCGAATCGGATGGGGGTCCGATAGGGAAAACACCCTGTATGCGCCACAGCAGGCTATGCCTGGAGGTGGTCCCAACGCATTCAGGGCTAGGCTCTGCCCGAAGGCAATACAAAATGAGCCCATAAAACAACAAACATTACAATGTCCCTGTGTAGCCGGCGGAAACACAAAAAAAACCCAATTGGGATGGCAGGAGGAGTCTTTTTATTTAATGTGGTTGATGTGTTTCCTGTTGCAGGCAGGCGGAGCCTTATCTCATTGGCTGTCCTGAAAGATGACTGGGGGGAAAAAAGCTTCCTCAAATGATAAAACCTTATCTAGCAGACACCAAGGTTTGAAAAAAAATATTCCAGCCATATCCTTCATAAACCAATCCTTTACCTTGAGCAATACCGATTTTGTTTTGACACCATATGGATAAAAAACATGTTTTTAAAAAGACTTATTGGTATCTACCCACTGCACATTTTCACCTCACCAGTGCCACAGGCTGATAGCTTCCATGCCAAGCCGCATTGATGCAGTAATTGCTGCAAAAGGGGCCCAAACCAAGTACTGAGTACATATGCATGCTTGTACTTTTCAGAGGTCCGATATTGTTCTATGTACAATCCTTGTTTTATTGATTGCATGTAATATTCTAAGCTTCTGAGATTATGGATTTGGGGTTTTCATGAGCTGTAAGCCATAATCATCACAATTATGACAAATCACAGCTTGAACTATCTTGCTTTGCATGTAATGAGTCTATCTCATATATTAGTTTCACCTTTTAAGTTGCATTAGTGAAATAAATGAACTTTTGCACGATATTCTAATTATTCGAGTTTCACCTCTATATGTTTGGATACATGTTTGTCACATATACTGAGTCTACTTATTGCACATGATGGCCTTGGATTTTGTTTGATTCACTTCCTTCTCCATAACTGCAGTTCAGCTACAACATCTTCAACACTGCCCTCCATATCTCTTATATAAAATGTAACTAAAGTCTTAAACTTCTCCAGTTCTAGTTCTTCCCCTTTCACAAGGACATCATTGGTTGCATTGGGAAAAAGGGATGGAAATCCAGAAAGCACCTTCTTATGCTCTGCGAAACGTACAATTCAGCTCTGCTATAAAACAATCCAAAAATGGGATATAGACAGCCAGTCTTAAGTACTCTACAGGACAACGGGTCATATCGTTTGGTCTATTTCTGTGGGTCACTACCAGTCTTGGGCCTGAGATTGTAATGTCCAGCTTCCAACAAATATCGGTTGCTGTTTGAAAAGGAGGTTGAAAAGTTTCTGTAGCGTCGGCTCTCAGAACCTCCAATTCTTGTCTTGTGTCCTCAGCTACTTTCATTGCCTCTCAAACACAGAGCTGTTCTTTGAAGGATTTTACTTATTGTTCGACCAAGTCCAAAAACCTTTGCGGTCACCGAAAGAGATATGATAA